TCACACAGTCACATAGTTACATTGTCACACGGTCACAGTGTCACACAATGATATCTAGATAATATTGCTGACATATGTTATTTTGTTTTGTAGCACATGGAAGAGGCGATGTATAAATTTCGAACCCGTATTATAAAGCATCTCATGACCTATATAGGATGCAACTACTTGGTGTGTGATACCATGTTCATAGAGTTGATCAACGCATGAGTAGAATCGGGAGACATGACAACTTTGGGCGATCTAGAATCACACTTCAACGGAAGAAGAAAGCATGAACTTTTATTTTTTTAAATGCTTTGTTTATATTATTTTGAACCCTAACGTGATCTACATAAGATGCAAATATTTGACTTGTGATACTATGTTCATAGAGCTGATCAACGCATGAGTAGAATCGGAAGACATGACAACAAATATTTCAGAAGACGAAAGTGTAAATTTTTAATTTATTTCACTAAATTTACTTTGTTTATTTTGTTTTGAACCTTAACTATGATATGTTTTTCTTTATTTGATAGTAGACTAAATTATGAACTCTTATATTTAGTTTTTTGTTTATTAGAAATCTGAATTTAATATGTGTGACGTTGTAGAGTAATTAAATTGACAAAAATCGCATGGATCGAAGGTTGTGACCGGTTGTGACCGACTGTGATCCATTGTGACCGAAATGTGATGTGGGACCCACAGGAAGAACTCGTCAGACTTCCAAATGTGTTTCTATATATTTCATAGTGTTTTATGAGTGTTTTTGAAAAATTTGGAATATTTCTTCTACAAACCCCTTAAAATATTTTGAAAATTTCTCACATACACTATATATCTAATATATAGACCCTGATAAACCACTCCGAAGCTTAAAAATTAAATTTTGGTCTATATTTATCAATACATTGCGGTCACGGGTCACATTCGGTCACAATGGTCACACAATGTAAAATTACATTTCGGTCACACGGTCACAATGGGTCACAACGTTGGCTCATGTGAGTCAATTTATTTAGTGTACAACACGAGTCAGATATATACGAAAATACAAGATTAAAAATACAACGTTGGCTCATGTGAGTCAATTAATATGGTACAGACACAATATTATCCAAAAATTTTAACACATACCGAAGTGCAATTTTACACTGTGTGACCATTGTGACCGACTGTGACCCGTGACCGAAATGTGTTGATAAATATAGACCCAAATTTAATTTTTAAGCTTTGGAGTGGTTTATCAGGGTCTATATATCAAATATATAGTGTATGTGAGAAATTTTCAAAATATTTTAAGGGGTTTGTAGAAGAAATATCCCAAATTTGTCAAAAACACTCATAAAACACTATGAAATATATAGAAACACATTTGGAAGAACTATCCCAAATTTGTCAAAAACACTCATAAAACACTATGAAATATATAGAAACACATTTGGAAGAACAATTTTGAAACATAAAAATCGCAAAAACCATATTCTAATATTCGAAACAATAGAGAATAGGCTTATGAGATATGTGTGACGTTGTAGAGTAATTAAATTGACAAAAATCCGATTTCTGCAAATTTTTAGGACAAAATATCAAGATAAATAGGAGAGAGAAAATATAGAAGAGAGAGAAAGCTCAATCGAAAATAATGGCGGAAGGAGAGAGAAACGTGCAAAAAATGGGAGGAGAGAGAAACTTTAGGAAAATTTTATTTTTTATTTTTTTAATTAAAAAATAAAAAATGGGAGGAGAGAGAAATTCCAGAAAAGGGGAAATTTTGTTTTTTTATTTTTTTAATTAAAAATTATATCTTAAGGGTATTTTGGTAATATGTTATTGAAAAGGGTAGATTGGAAGTTGAATTTTTTTTTTTAAAATGAGGAGGGTAGTAGGAGAAGTGTTTGTAGCACATTAAGGGTAATTTGGAAGTTCCTATATATATATATATCATATATATATATATATATCATATATATATATATATCATATATATATATATATCATGTGTGTATAATTAGGAGAAGATAAGGTGGTCAAGGACGAGGTCCAGATGCAGTTAGTTCAGGGCAAATTCATGCATATCCAACTCGGACATTGTTTGGAATATATAATGAAATGATAATATATGTAGCTCGGCTAACAAAATATATATATATATAGCTCATTTAATTATTTCGTAGCATTTTCTCTTGTTGTTGGGAATTAATCTTGTTATTGTTCCATAATTATAATATATGTGTATATATTGACAGATAATAATAATTTATCTCAAAGTAAAGGTAAATCCAGAAAAAAAAAAAATCAATTAAGTTTGTCTAGTATGATTGGAAAGAATTATCATCAAAATCATGAGAATCTAACATTTTGTGTCTGTATTTTTTTAAATATATTTATTTTAGTAGTGTATTATATTTTTATTTAATTTTAATTTTATTATTGCCTGGTTTGAATTTGGTTTTAATAAAAACGTATTATATAAAAATATTGTGAACTTTCTTGGTTATTAATTATTTTTATATTTTATTTAAATTCGATTAATATTCAATTAGTTTAATTTATGAGAATTCATCGACTTTTAGATTAAATCCAATGTATATAGAATTCAAATATGAAAATGATTTTTTAACTGTTATGTGGACGATTCAATTCAAATAATTCACAATGATTGTTCATCCTATAATGACTTTAATAACACATGAGATAGAATCAAATAATACCCCACCGTTTCACCGCGACTCGCGTACATTATGTTAACAACATAAAGATGAATATACATATATATATATATATATATATATTATTGTTATTATTACTATTGAATAAAAATTTCTCTAAGATTGCAAGGAAGTTTGGTGGGCGTTGGTGAAGGAGTGACTCTAATGAATCCATGATTGGTCGAGAAGTTGAACACCTCGAATGCCCAATTCCAAACAAATTCCTATTTGAATCTTTTCTTAATGATAAAAATAAAAATCAGTAATCATTGTGAAAAAAGATAGTTAAAAAACAAAAGGAAATTGATAAATTGTAGGAAATAAAAGAGCCTATTTTTAAATCTTGTTTCATTAATAATCATGTTGGTCGAATTTTTCAGACCATGCATGATTGCAATTGTTTTATTCTCTTTCTCCTCATGCATATTCAGGGGTTCACGTTTTCAATGGAACAGCACAAGAACACTGTGAATATACAACATGAAAATGTTGTAAGCATTACAAACACTGACAAACATACGAATTTCACGGTGGTTGAGATGTTTGGCCATCCACCTATGAACAACCCTACATATATAATGTATATATATATATATGTGTGTGTATATATACGCAGAATCGGAAGAACACAGAGAATTTATTGCGGGACAAAATTAATAATATTTTGATGGGGAAGACAAAGTTGAATACAGTGAATTTGTGGATAATATGTGTGATAGCGGCAACAATATCAATATGCAACGGTGCAACGTACTTTGTGGGCGACGGCTCGGGTTGGGACATTAGCACGGATCTTGATTCCTGGCTTCTCGGCAAGGCTTTCAACGTTGGTGACGTTCTTGGTAAGTACATCTATCTATACGTACATCTATACGTGCATACGTACATATTCATCTAATGCTTTTGGCTCTACGTACAGTATTCCAATACTCGTCACCCCACAGCGTATACGAGGTGACCAGAGACGAGTTCCAGAGCTGCAACACGACGAAGCCTCTTCGGACATTCTCGGGCGGTAATACCACCGTCTCTTTGTCGGAATCCGGCGACAGATTCTTCGTCTGCGGCAACAGGCTCCATTGCTTCGCCGGTATGAGGCTGCCGGTCCACATTCAGGGCAACTCCCCTTCTCCTTCTCCTTCTCCCGCCGGAGCTCCACAAGCCGCCGTCTCTGCCGTCACTCACCCTTCTTCCAAGAGGAATGATCCGGCGACGCCGGTCCCCAGCTCCGGCGCCGGTGACGACAGGGGTATTATGGGGATTTTGGTGTCTACGTTGTTTTCTCTCTTCCTGTATAATATGGTCTGATTATCGAGTAAAATTATATGTTCCTACACACAAAAAAAAATTATATGTGAACAATTTTATACGCAGATATGTGTGCATGGTTTCCAAAGTTTTACCGCATTTTCTTGATTTTTGTTTATACATGTTTAATTTACGACCGGTTCATGTGTAGTAAAGTCTAATTTAGACCGGTTCATGTTTTCTTGAATGGAATAAATACATAAATTTATAAAAATTGTTTTTTACGGAATAATAGACAAATTCCGCACACGTCAGCAGACGCGTTTTCTTCTCAACCTCTCATTTTCTCTCTATATACCATTGCCTTTCCTGTTCTCTCTCTAGAATTTCTCCATGAACATACTGAACAAGCTCGGATTCGGATCAAGACACACCAACATGGACCCTTCTCCGATTGCTCAGGGTCCCGATGACGATTCTCCGGCGCTGGGAAACCAGTTTGCGCAATTCGCCGCCGGATGCTTCTGGGGCGTAGAGCTTGCGTACCAGAGGGTCTCCGGCGTGACCAAGACCGAGGTTGGCTACAGCCAAGGGGTCATCCACAATCCGGCATACGAGGATGTCTGTTCGGGAACTTCGAACCATGCAGAGGTTGTTAGGGTTCAGTATGATCCCAAAGAGTGCAGCTACGAGGCGCTGCTTGACCTGTTCTGGTCGAGGCATGACCCCACCACGTTGAATCGTCAGGTGTGATTTTGATTTTGATCGTCCTTCTTCTTTGGTTTCCCCTGTTTCGCATTGATGTATAGGTTTTGTGCTTGGATTCCGCGTTTCGAGATTGACGAAAGTTTCTAGGGTTTTGATTTCAATTTTTGTGAAATTGAGTTACATTTCCAGTCAGATTTTAAATTGGATCTGCTTGATTTATCTGAAATTGATGGATATTGAAGTTTTAGATTTGGATTATAGGTTTGGAATATTGATGAAACCTTAACCTTATAGGGCGGATCTTTGTTCTTATGTGGTGAAACGGTAACCTGGAATCGATAGCATTGTAAACTAATCCCCGTTTTGAACATTTTTGCTAAATACGTTGAGTGAATCAAAGAACATAGACCGATAGAATTGATCTAAATTTGAGAATTTTGTTTTGTTTGGTAAAGTCGATAACTTTGAGTATATTGCACAAGCTGCTTCTTCCTCTGCGTACTGTCTGCATCTTTCTCAAATTTCAATTTGGATATAGAGAATTAGAGATACAGATTCAGTAAGTCTCATCTCATAGTTGCTTGGAGTGGATATGGTAATGGTCCTGATACTTTCTCAAAATTCGTATAGATTTAAGTCGGTTTTGATGTTGTTTCTGCTCGATTATGGCCTTCTCTCTAGCTTTCAGAGTTGATTTTATCTTGGCATTTCATCATTCTTCTCTTCATTCGGTGGAACATTGATTCATTTTAAATTGGTATGTTGGTAGAAGAACATCTGGGTATTTCCGGATCACGTATGTGATTAGGGTGATCTCAATTCTTACCGCAGAGGTGATGCAAAATCCCTGTTCTGTGTGATTTGATGTCATATATAAAAAAAATTGCTTGGTTGATCCTTTAAATCCCAATCTTTGCTTGCATCGTTTCGTGCATGAGACTTCTTTCAGTGATCGATCTAGACCAAGATGACAATGAATCAACATGATCTCCATGCTAGTTTTTCTCCGGGGCATTCTCCCTCGAACGATTTAACGGTCAAATGCTCTCTTATTTTCAGTATTCCATCATTTCGATAGTTCTGTTCCGTGCCTTAACATCATTGTTTCGGTATCATTTGGGGCAGGGGCACGACGTGGGAACCCAGTACCGATCAGGGGTATACTTCTACACACCCGAGCAAGAGAAGCTGGCAAACGAGTCACTGGACCGTCACCAGAAACAAATGGACAGGAAGATTATGACGGAGATATTACCGGCCAAGAAGTTCTACAGAGCCGAAGAGCACCACCAGCAGTACCTGGCCAAAGGCGGCCGGTTCGGTGACAAGCAATCTGTGGCTAAGGGCTGCAACGATCCTATCCGCTGCTATGGGTAAAACCCTGCTCGGGTTCATCGTAAAGGCCGTGGCCCTTTTGTGGTTATAAAACTTGGTGTGATTGTATTATCAATGTGGAATGTGTGAAGAGACCTGATTTTGATGTATTTTTATGACAACCTCGAAGTAAAGAGCTTGTTTCATGTCTTTTTAATGCTGAATGTATGTGACTGAGAACAACTAAATTCAGCAGGATCATTGGTTGCTTCATGTGAAAATTTGCATTTTTAGTATATTGATAAATGCGTATTTACATTTAAAAACTCTTTGAAATATTAACCCTAACTTGGATAGTTAAATCGGTGAAACTAACTTTGATAATTAAATCGGTGAAACACAGACACAAAACGTGTATACCGTTCCGACTTCAAACCTCAAATTTGGGACGCAATCACGGAACTAGTTTGGACATCATCCCAAAACATCCGATTACCAAAAAAAAACTCTTGAAATGTTTTGAATTGATAAGTGAATCAGAGATCTAGAATATTCATATAAAAAACGTGAATTTTATATTTATATAGTAGAAAGATCTTGTAAACCACATCCAAAACATTAGGAGAGAAAGATAAAAGGAAGGGGACGAACAAGCGAGTCAACAAAGACATAGTGGTCGGTGGTTAGATTAGAGGAGATCTCATCTTAGACCGAGACAAAGACAGAGACAGACAATCTTCGCAACATGTTGCTCATGTCTAAAACAAAAACGTGGTTAGCATTTTGAAGAGAGGGTTCACCACGTGGCGAGATATTACTCATTATTACGACATTTTCCTCCATCGGCTGTGGTCCCGTCGTGTCATTGGTCTCCACTCTACTTGGCACGACTCTTCATTGTTCGTGAATCGCGACTCGGGATTTTTTTTAAAATTTTATTTTGTAACTTTCATAAAAACACGTATAGTTCTGTAAAAATACTGATGGCATTAGATGCAAGCAAATGCACAATTGAAACGTCCACGAAATAAATAAACCATTCTAACTAAATTGAATATATATATATATATATATATATATATATATATATAGGGGTGTCAATTTGGGTCCGAGGTCCGAAGTCCGGTCCGGCCAAACTCGAAAATTAACGGATTTCGGGCTTAAATTTTTTGGTCCGAAAAAATCGGGCTTTCGAGTCGGGCCCGAATCGGGCCGGCCTGAAAGCCCGATATTTAAAAAAAAAAGAAAAAAAATTTACAGAGGATTTATGTGGGCCGGGCCGGTCCGCGCCCGGTATATATAGAGCCGGGCTTCGGCCTTAACTACTTAGACCCGAAAAAAATCAGGTCGGCCCAAGCCCGAAACTTTCGGGGTGTAAAATTTAGAGAGAGATGTTGATCTAGAACGATATGTAATAGGGGTCTAAAATTTAGAGAGAGAATCTGATCTAGAACGATATGTGATAGGGGTGTAAAATTTACAAAAAAAATTAACATACATATATATATATGTGGGGTTAATCAATTTAGTGCTAATTTACTAAGAACCAAATCTCAAGTTAAGCATATGATTTAATTATCCTCTTTCTTCAACAAATAATCATTCATAAATGTCACAACTTAAGAGTTCGTTGCACTCTTTTCTTGAACGGTCAATGCATGGTTGGATTGGAGATAATACAGATCATAGAAACCCATAATTCAAAACTTACTTCAAAAGTTAATTAACATTTAATAAGTGTGATCAAGAAACTGCCATAATTTTTATATATTCAATTTTTGTACTTTTTTAAAATGTTTATCTTAAAGTTTTTGAAGTATATGTAATTATCCCTTTTGTATAAAAAACGCATGTCAACCCTCTCTTTCTATATATATATGTGTGTACAATTATAGACATATGTGAATATAGGTATATATGTATGTATGGTGTACATCCATGGAAAATCCATTTTATAATAACTCATTTATTTCCTTATATATAATATAAACACCCAAAACGACGGACAGACAAAAGCCAAAAACAAAGCTGTGTTCTTGCAACACAACACTATAAGCTCCTCAAAAAAAAAAAAAAGAAGAAGAAGATATACCAATGAGTGATCATACACCGACGATGATCGACGGCAATGACCAGGATCAAGAATCGACGGCTGAGATCATGCCAGGCGTCATACCGGCGATATCGTATCTGCTGAAGAGAGTGTCGGAGATGAACCACGATCTGAGCCGTCCGTTCAGGCGGCACCAGAGGATCTCAGGCTTCCATGGACTGACAAGACCTTCGATCTCGATCAGAAGCTACATGGAGAGGATCTTCAAGTACGCGAACTGCAGCCACTCTTGCTATATCGTCGCTTATATATATTTGGACCGGTTCATGCAAAAGCAGCCATTTTTGCCCATCGACTCCTTCAATGTTCATAGGCTCATTATCACCAGTGTTTTGGTCTCCTCCAAGTTCATGGACGACATGTAAGTTTCCTATATATATATATATATATATATCCTTTTATTGAAAACAGTTTCTAAACTCCGAATGCTTTCATTACAAAAAACTTGGACCGACAGTACAATAATTGGATATATTTTCCGGTTTTACATTAACAAAATTGTGGGGGTCAAAATGAGCTCTTCTTTAATTTTGCTGATTGTGCAAAGATATGATTTGGATTTTGGTAGTTTTTTTTAAGAGAAAATCCCAAAAAAAATTTCATCTAAGCTCATCAATTTTCACAAAATATAATCTAAACTTTATATTTTATCGAATAAAACTTCAACTTAATTTTTTCATTAAAAAATAAACTCAAACTTTATAATCTTTATCGTTCTTAAACCTATTGCTCACGTGGCGTTCCGATATCCTACATGACAAGTCAACACTTTAGTCATATTTGGCACGCCATCATCCACGTGTCACGATATCGGAACATCACATCACCAATAGGTTAAAAAATGACAAAGATAAAAGTTAGGTTTATTTTTTACTGAAAAATGAAATCGAGATTTTATTTGATAAAAATAAAGATTAGATTTTATTTTGTGAAAATTGAGGAGTTCAAGTATTTTTTTTTTTTGGGGATTTTTCATTTTTTAAATAGTCACATCCGAATTTTGTCACGAGAAATAATGGATTTGTGGATATAAAAAAAACACATACGTAAATAATTGCCGTCCGTTACGTATAAATGATTATAATAAAAATGAAAACGAAAACGGGCAGGTGTTACAGCAATGCATATTACGCAAGGGTCGGGGGGATAAGCACGGAGGAGATGAACATTCTGGAGTTGGACTTCTTGTTTGGGATTGCGTTCCATTTGAACGTGGCGCCTTCCACTTTCCACCACTACTCTTGTTTTTTACACGCTTTGGAACCTTCTCCCCCAGCCAGAAGTTCTCCCCACAAGAAGTTTCATATCAATCTCCGCGAAGACGAATCTACCCTTCAGAAACAACTCGCTGCTGTATAACGTCACCGTCTAACCCTCTTCTTCGTTTGGAGGGATTTAGGCTTATTGCCACCAATACCCTTTTTTTTTTAATTCTAAATGCCAGTTAAACATTTCTGAATTAGATTTGTTTGTCGCATATGGCACTCGATTTTGTTTAAAAAAAATTATTAGGTTCATAAAGCATGATCCTATAAGACCGTCAAACCCTAATTTAAACCATTTGTTGTAATGATTTCAAATTAATCCCATAGTTGTCCGAGTGGTTCTTCGCATATCAAAACATTAACGTAACGGTGTCTTCTTAATTAATTAGATTAATGTTCATAATTTCAATAGCTGGTTGTTAGTGGATTTTTAGTAGGCCAAGTGGGCCAACTGAAAGCCCATAAAGGCCCACTCTAGTCTATACATCATGTTGAATATATATTTTTCTCCCCCACTCGTAAATTAATTAAAATATCCGCAGGCCAAATAATTATTAATGATATTCAACTAAAATATGCGTAGGGAATTTATTTGATTCGTTTTCCACTTTTATTTTTTTTTCAATTCTTTTTATTAAATTTGCATGCGATTTATGTTCTATGAGAGGGAGATGAAAAACAATTAAATACCTCTAAGCACATAACTTACACAAAAAAAAAGGAAACAGCCAATAAGAATAAAGATTAATGCAAAAAAAACACCTATAAGATCACTTATATATATATATATATATGCCACAAATTTAGAGTTACACAATGTTACACATTAGCACACCAAATTAAACCCATCACCATGCGGAACACTGATGGTAGTGGAAGTGAACAACGTGAAGCAGCAGGAGCACAAACGGTGCAAGTACTGTCTTGGAACAGGTAAGTGCTTCAAAAACGCAAAGGAATCAAGACTGTCTGAATGATTCGCCGTTTTTACTTACAAGCATGTGGTACGGATGGATAATATTACTACAGGGTATCTAGCATGTGCACGTTGCTCAAACACAGGTTCCCTTGTCCTGATAGAACCAGTGTCAACTGTTGGAGCCATAACCACCGCCGTGAGCTCCGCCGCCGCCATAACCATACCCGGAGCCGCTACCTGACCCAGACCCGGATCCGTATCCGAACCCGTACCCTCTTCCCCACCCGGTGGGTGACCGGCCTGAGCCCGACCCGTAACCCGAGCCCGAAGTCGGGGTTGAGCCCCAACCCCAGTTGTACTCCCAGTTGGGCCCATGGGCCGAGCCAGCCGCACCCTGATTGTTTTGGTCCGGTGACATGTTGCTTCGACCGGGAAACGGTCGGGAGGTTGAAAGTGTTGTGGTAATGGCCATAAGAAAACAAAAAATCAACAAGAGGGTTCTCATACTGTTCTTCTTTTTTGGTGGTTCTTTAGGGTTAATCTTTTTTTTTCCTAATAAAGGAATTATCGTGTTATGAAATTATTGTAAGAAAGCTTTGCATTATATAGGCAACAAGAACAAGCTTTTTGGAAAGACAAGTGGGCTTGATGGTGTGATATGGGCCCCACCATTAATAAATTACTGCAGTAAACTTTTGTATGGTAAACATTAGCAGCACCACCGCCTTAACGATAATTTAATAATAGTTAATAATAAATAGATTGATAACGAAGTCATATTAGTTAGTTATGGAGTTTTCACCCTTTTTTTTTTCTTCCAAGGGATAACGATGAGTAAAGATTAAAGAAGGATTTGGTGGGCAATTGCAGTGTCTTGTCGTGTTTTGTATTAAAAAATATATATAAAATAAACCCACGCCAATTATAGCAAATAAATGGAATCATATATCATGCGCAATTCATGGAATTATTACGGAATATATTAGCTTTTACTGTCCAAGAAAAGGGAAGAAAAAAAAAAGAGCATATGACATAATTCAAGATCCATAAAATCAAGTTAATCAACATCTATGCCACACGTGTATATATATGCATATAAATAAATACAATTAACCGGGAAAATTTAGAGAAGATACCAATCATAGAAAATTCTGAGAAAAACCAGTTGTCTTATTTTATTTATATAGGTTTTAGATATATATAATTCGTTCTATTAAAATTACAGATAAAATATTTTTTTTTTTAATTTATGAAATCTCAAACTAGCTAGGTTGTTTACCTTTAAAGGCATCTAATTATCTCGTGTGGATAATTTGTGGAATCCTTTTAAACATTATTTTCATATGATTATTGACCCATCTGATTTATGTATCATATAAACATACATTTTCTAGATCACTTTTCAAACAATTTTTTTTTTCTGGTTAGTCCCCAATTTTCATCGTTTACTAGTGAAATTAGGAATTTTTTTTTTGTCGAATATTAGGCTCTAACTCCTCTCGAACTTATATTCCACATCATCATATCCTTTTGAAACATTTAACACAACAATATTAGAGGCAATGATTTCTAACATTAACAAAACATATAATGGACCGTTGGTTTACATCTACTATTTGTGGGAATATGACAAAAATATATCAAATAAAAATAGGACGACGATCGATCGTGATGACAAGGAATATCGCATTACGTATTTTTTTTTACGGTTAATTACATAAGTATGATGTCAGCATATATGTCTACCTTATCCTACATCTGACTGCTAAATGCCAATGGAGCCGGGACTTCAGATAACTTCAAACACAAATGAGTTCAGTTCCAATGTATGGATCCCTCGTTATACACATTCTTGCTATATAATTGTAATAAACATTATATTTATGTATGTATGTGTTTGTATAGGAGTTTCTTGTTTGATTATGTATATATATATATATATATATATATGTGTGTGTGTGTGCGTGTGTGTGTGTGAAAGAACACATTTTCTTAAGCTCGATTGTTGTCACTAGTGGCCCTCTCTCCCCATAGAAAGCATCCTGATATTTTGTATTGACTTTTTCCAAGCCTATATGTACCATTCAAATTTGTATATTATATACGGAGATTATTAATTCATGTTGGAATTTCAAATTCAAAATTTTAAAAGGATGTAATAATTCACACTAACTATTTTTTTAATGTTCTTTTTTTTCATGACTTTTTTTTTTTTTTTTTTTTTTTTTTTGTTTTTTTTATAACGGATGATCCCTAACTGCTACCATTCGGACGCGCTGACTAGATAAACTTCCGGTCCGAGAACAGCCTTTCTTTACATGACTTATTAATTGTATACTCAAGTTGTAATTTATTTGAATTTTTACGGAGATTTTTTTTTTTCTGAATTTGTTTTGCGGTGCGAAAAAGAGCAATGCACGTGCGAAGTGTGAGAGCATTTCACAAAATATCTCAATGATCTTTCTAGTTGATGGCACCTTTTATCCCCCCTCTCTCCCTCTAAAATTTGGCAACGGTCCACACGCACTTCTAACAGTGGAGCAAGTACCATATCCATATGGTATGTTTCTTATATACATATATACATAAAGGTTTTGATGAATATATAATTTAGAATTGAAAGTTCACACAATGTATATATATCCGAAAGATATCGTTTTAAAAAGGCGTAAGTATGTGATTTCACCGTAACGTAACGCGATATCAATCCCAATATGTACGTGTGTATATATATATATATATATATATATGTATTAATTAGAGTCAGATGCATAAAAGGAAAATATCTCATGTCGACCCTCGAAATTGCATAGCATGATCCATTCCACATGCAATTGCCCCCTCCCCCCCCCCTCTCTTGCCACCT